AAATCTGCACTGGTAGAGATAGGATTAATAATAATGAGAAGTGGTGGTAGAAAGGGAAAGAGAGGCAGAGACTGTTAACATGAGGGAGATGGTGGATCCAAACAAGGGGGCGGGGCAGGGGTGAAGCTGCTAGGAGGGCAGGATCGAGGTACAGGACCCCGTGCTGGACCCCACAGAGAGGCCGTGACCCCAGCGGGGGTGAGAGGGGTTGGTAACAACAGGAGGTGCCGACTGCAAAGAGGGTGGTAGGTATAGCTCATAAGCACCAAGCAGGAATGCAGGAGATGTGCTAAAAGAGTGAGGTCTCAACTGTCACTGGGAAGGCAGCAGGACAGGAATGGAATGACAAAGTTCCAGGAGGGCCCAGCCCTTGCAGCTGGAAGAAGAAGTGTTACTACAGAACGTAGCAGTAGAAAGGTGTGAGAGGAGCAGGATGGTGTGATGATGGCAAACGTAGCCCAGGTCAGAGGGAGGAAACCAAACTGGAGCTGCCCTGGCCTGCCAGGAAGGGGAACAGCTGGCAGACTGTGAGGAAGGGTGAAGACTCCAGAAGAGAGCTCGTCTCAGGAAGATGTGATATAGAGGGGACAGGGGCAGCCAGACACGGTGACTCACACCTGTAATCCCAGCACCTAGAGAGGATGAGGCAGGCGGATTGCCTGAAGTCAGGAGTTTGAGACAAGCCTGGCCAACATGGTGAAACCTCGTCTCTACTAAAAATACAAAAATTAGCTGGGTTTGGCAGCAGACACCTGTAATCCCAGCTACTCGGGAGGCTGAGGCAGGAGAATCTCTTGAAACCTGGAAGCAGAGATTGCAGTGAGCCAAGATTGTGCCATTGCACTCCAGCTTGGGTGACAAGAGTGAGATTTCACCTCAAAAAATAAAAAAAGACCTGACTGGGTGTGGTGGCTCCCGCCTGTAATCCCAGCACTTTGGGAGGCCGAGGCCAGTGGATCACGAGGTCAAGAGATCGAGACCATCCTGGTCAACATGGTGAAACCCTGTCTCTACTAAAAATACAAAAAATTAGCTGGGCATGGTGGCGTGTGCCTGTAATCCCAGCTACTCAGGAGACTGAGGCAGGAGAATTGCCTGAACCCAGGAGGCGGAGGTTGTGGTGAGCCGAGATGGCGCCATTGCACACCAGCCTGGGTAACAAGAGCGAAACTGTGTCTCAAAAAAAAAAAAGAAGGGACAGGGACTAGGGGGCTGGAGCATCTGAGCAGGGGCTATTTTGAAGTGGGGGAAGATGTGCTAAGTCCCCATCTAGTCCCTGTCTCTGGATCTAACAGGGCAGCAGACGCCATCCTAAAGGCAGTGGCAGCCAGCAGTGTCGCTGAGAAGGCTGTGGAGGCAGCTCGAATGGCCAAACTGATAGCCCAGGACCTGCAGCCCATGCTAGAGGCCCCAGGTGAGGCATGGGCAGCCAGGGGAGGGAAGTGGGGCCTCTGGGGAGCTAGAGAGCATCAGGTGTGGGAAAACAGATGAGAAGCCCTGCAAGGGAACAGGGGATGGAAAAAACAAGGAATGAGGGTACAAGGAACACAGGGTGGGGCCAGACCCGGTTGTCTGGGGAATGGGACTGGAAATGTATGCAGTAGGATAATGGGGGGTTTGGGGTCTGGCAGTGACAGGCTATGAGCCTGGGGATTCCAAAGTCCTGGGAAGTACCCAGTCAAGGATAAAGCTGCAACCACTCCAGCCCAAGACCAGTTAGGCCCCTCTGATTCTTAGCTATCCCTACCCAGGCCGCAGACCCAGGCAGGACTCAGAAGGTTCTGACACGGAGCCCCTGGATGAGGACAGCCCTGGGGTGTATGAGAATGGACTGACCCCCTCAGAGGGATCCCCTGAACTGCCCAGCAGTCCCGCCTCCTCCCGCCAACCCTGGCGACCCCCTGCCTGCCGAAGCCCACTGCCTCCTGGAGGGGACCAGGGTCCCTACTCCAGCCCCAAAGCTTGGCCTGAGGAATGGGGGGGCCCAGGTGAGCAGGCAGAGGAACTAGCTGGTTATGAGGCTGAGGATGAGGCTGGGATGCAGGGGCCAGGGCCCAGAGATGGTTCCCCACTCCTCGGAGGCTGCAGCGACAGTTCAGGAAGTCTTCGAGAGGAGGAGGGGGAGGATGAAGAGCCCCTGCCCCCACTGAGGGCCCCAGCAGGCATGGAGCCTGAGCCCATCGCCATGCTGGTCCTGAGGGGCTCATCCTCGAGGGGTCCTGATGCTGGGTGCCTGACAGAAGAGCTCGGGGAGCCCGCTGCAACCGAGAGGCCAGCCCAACCGGTGAGATTCTCTGTTCCTGCTATGTGCCCTTTTCTCCCCAAAGCCTTGCCTCCCACCCTTTCCAGACCTGTCTGATCCCCAGGGGGCTTTTATCTCGACTTGGCTTCCTCTGCCTGGCCAGTCTTGGACCATATCCCACCTCAAAAAAAAAAAAAAAAAAAAAAAGGATGTTGAGCTGGAAGGAACCTTACACACCTGTGAGCCCGACACCCTCATTTGACAGATGGGGAAACTGAGGCCCAGAGCACTTGATTAACTTGCCCAGGGTTATAAACTAATAATTAATGGGAGAGCTAAAACATTTTTCCCCGTTCTCCTTCCATATCATTTCCAGCTCTCAGTTTCCTACTCCACCCCCACCCCCACCTCCGCACTTTCTCTCTTTGGTGCCCAGAAATAAAAAAGGAAAAGATTGTTCCCTCCCTACCCTGACTCTCCCTCCCTCTCCTGGGAAGAAGTTGAAATAGGGAAGAAGGCCGAAAACCAGGAGAGGCGGAGTTTCCCCAGAACCCTCTACTCTGATTGGGCTCTAGGCCTTCTGTTTCCTAGCAACCACATCCTCACCCCTTCATCCCTCTGCCTTACTGCAGTACTGGCTGCTGCTGCCAATGTCTGCTACTAAGGCCAGGCACCTCCTGCCTGGGACACATGATATGCTGATGGGAGGGGACTGGGGGGAGGAGAAGGAAGGGCTGTCCCTGTATTGAGGGTGCCAGAGGAAAGGTGGGACCCTGCCTGGGAAAACAGGGGGTTTTGCAATCCAAAACAAATGTTGGTGATACCCGCCCCCCCAGCTCCAGGCTCTGCAGGGAGGTGCCTGAGACCCTTCAGCTCTGCCACCTCAGACAGGGCAGGAAGGTGGGCCCTGTCCTCAGGGACTGAGTTGGCTTCCCTCTCTGTCTCTCTAGGGAGCTGCCAACCCCCTGGTGGTGGGAGCCGTGGCCCTCCTGGACCTCAGCCTGGCATTCCTGTTCTCCCAGCTCCTCACCTGAGGCTACTTCCTGGCCTGGTTCTGGCTTTGGTTGCCTGCCTCTTCACCCCTTTCACCTGCCTTTTTTCTCTTTTCCTCTCCTTGGCTGTGTTTTCTCCTATCTTTCTTTCCCTTCTTCCTTTCTTTTCTGTCCCCTCTTTTTTTCTCTCTTGCTTTTTCTTTCCCTCTCTTCTTTCAGATTATCTCATTTCTTCTGGATCTGTCTCTGTATTCCTTTCCCATCCCAACCCCTTCTTTCTCTAGATTGTTTACATATGAAGGGCTTTTCTCTCTCAGAGTTGCTGTCTTCTCTGAGACACACAAATCTAAGTCAGACCATTGCCCCACGCCCTCCCCACCTTTTCTTTAGACCTCAACTTCGCTGCGGGTGGGGGTTTGGTATCCTAAGGAGACTTCTGGAAGCTGAATGGAGAGGAGGAAGAAAATGAAGAAGGAGTGACTGAATGCCGGGCAAGGCACTGGCTGAGCTGCTGTGGCTCCCTGGCCTGAGGGACCTGGTGTCCCTCTGAGGCCTAGTAAAAAAGCTGCAGGAGGTGCAGCCTCCACCTCTAATCTTGGAGGCTATTATCTCACCTCCAAGCACTGAGCTGGGTTCCTGCCCAATTCCATCCTTCCCTGAGGGAGAGAAGGGAAGTGAAAAGTAGAATAACTCCCTAGCATCTCCCTCTTTCTCTCCTCATCAAGCCAGCCCCTCCTCCAGCCCCCTATGGTGGCATGCCATGCCAAGAGCAACGTGTAAAGGAACAGAGAATATCCAATGCAGTCAGGTCCACCCCGCCCAGACTCTGCCACTGACTTCTCCCACCCTTCTGTTTCCCCTCACTCCAATAGTTTATTTGGTTGGTCTGGACTCACTTGTGGCCTTTGATTAAATTCCTAAGGGGCCTGAAGAAGACATTTCTACTGCAGAGGGTTAGAGGCACTTGAGCAAGGCCCCCACACCCCAACTCTAGGAGTTGGGGTCGGGGGAGGCATTTCTGGGGGATAGGACCAGACAAGTTAACAGGAGCTCACAAGGAAGCAGAAGCTGTGACAAGTTTAGTAGTCTCAAAATGGGTTATTTCCCTTCCCCGCTCACATCAGAATCTTGTGAAATGGGAAAACAACAGAAGGAGGGGATCAAAGAAAGCTGATCTCACACGCTACCCAGGCAGGGCAGAGGTGGGAGTCAAACCCGGGTGACAGGTGGGTGGAGAGCCCTGTTTGAGGTTGTGGCTGATCCTTCCCTGGTATTAGCTTTTCCCCTGGGAGCAGGAAGCCCTAGGAAGAGGGGACTGTAGGGTCCCCAGGGGATCTTTCCTCCCTCCCCTGCATGAGGCAGAGGCAAGCTGCCTGCCAACCCCCTCCCTCAAGGAATGGCCTTGCCCGGGAATGCCCACCACACATACCCTCTTCTTTTTTTCTAGTCAAACTCTGTTTATTCCTTGGCTTGCCTCCCTCCTTCCTCCCCTCTCAACCTTTACTTCTGATTTCTATTTCATGGAATTTGGGATTGAAGTTAAACTACAACAGTGCCGCCAACACCAAGTCTTGCAGGAAAAAAAATACAAAGAAATTTAACAAAAAAAATATATTAATAAAAAAGTTCAAAAAAGGGGGGGGACTGTCATCTCCTTTTGGGTGCGATGGCTTCGAATCCAAGCTGAGGCCCTCCGGGTGGTGAGGACGTGCGAGGAGGCCTCTTGGGAGAACTCCAGGACTATCTCTCCGCCCCTCTGCGATAAGAGATCCTTTCCCTTAAGTCTAAAGCCTGAGGCCCGAGGTCAGAGGATTCTGGAAGGCTACAGTCGGCCCAGGAGGGCGGGGTCCCGTGGTGGAGGCGGGGAGAGGGAAGGACCGCATCGAGCACCAACCCCACTCGGCCCCGTACCAGGAAGCGCTGGGGGGCAGAGGAGCGGAGTTGAGACCGAAGCCAGGTGAGGGTGGCGTCCTGGGGAAGGCAAGCTGTCGCTGCCGCTGCCTGAGATGGGAATGGGGGGAGGAAGCTCGCGGAAGAAACAGCCGAGGGCCGTGGAAAGAAAGCAATCGGCTGAGTTAGCGATGGGGTACCAGGTAGGGAGGAAACCCGGGAGAGAGAGGTGGGGCTCAGGCGCATGCGCAATAGGAACGAGCGCGGCTGCGGTGTGGACGCATGCGTAGTGGGCTTCTCGGGCAGGAGGGTGGGCGCGGCATTTGGAGACCCACTTGGGGAAAGGTGAAATGCGGGGCGCAATTTTAGGGTACCTGTGGGACCGGGGCTCTTAGGGTCTTGACACAGGACAGGCCTGGTCCGAAAGCCCAGGCACACCCGGCCAGAGAGTGTTTCTCCACTCCCGGGCTTTGCTCGTCAGGATGGTGGTGCCGTCGCTGAAGCTTCAGGACCTCATCGAAGAGATTCGCGGGGCCAGGACTCAGGCCCAGGAGCGGGAGGTGATCCAAAAGGAGTGCGCCCACATTCGGGCGTCCTTCCGCGACGGGGACCCAATGCTCAGGCACCGGCAGCTGGCCAAACTGCTCTACGTCCACATGTTGGGCTACCCCGCCCACTTTGGACAGGTATCGGCCAGGAATACTTCCCTTCTGAGCTTGAGAAGGCTAGTGGGGCAGTCTCAGACGCCCTCACCTGTTTAAGCCCTGTTTTTTGTTTGTTTGTTTGTTTGTTTTTTCATTCATTGTACATTTTTTGAGTCTCACAGCCTGCGCTGCAAACCACATCTGGCCTGAGCCCTTCATTCTCTGGCCAGCCTGGTTTAGGGCAGGCACCTCCTCCACTCCTCTCCCCTCCCATCCTCCTCAACTCCTAGTTCCTCCTACCCACTAACACCTGAATCTCCTAAGCTTCTCCTCTTTTTGAAGGGATGGTGATGAGATACGATGCCCCACAGGTTAATCTGGTTTTAAAGAGGAAGATGGAACAGGGATGTGAGTGTCTCTGGTTTCACCCCTGCCTCTTCCTGGTCTGCCCCCTTCTCCATACATAGATGGAGTGCCTGAAACTGATCGCCTCCTCCAGATTCACAGACAAGAGGGTGGGCTACCTGGGGGCTATGCTTCTATTGGATGAGAGGCACGATGCCCACCTGCTCATTACCAACAGCATCAAGAAGTGAGAGGGTTCTGGCAATCACTTGGAATCAGGGAGATGGGAGAGTGGGGACCTTGGAAATCCTGGGGGACTGCCTGTTGTGGGTATTGAAAAGGACTGATTTTCTCAGAGACCTGACTGACCGTCCTCCCAAACCCTGCAGTGACCTGAGCCAGGGGATTCAGCCAGTACAAGGCCTGGCCCTGTGCACTTTGAGCACCATGGGCTCTGCTGAGATGTGCCGAGACCTGGCCACAGAGGTGGAGAAACTGCTTCTGCAGCCCAGCCCCTACGTGCGCAAGAAGGTGAGACGGCGGGACTCTTGGCACTTGCTCCTCCAAATACTGCCCACTGTGTGCCATATAGTAGAGGTGTAGGGTTCCATCCCCTCTGACCTGTCTGAGGGCCCTGACCTCTGCAGGCTATTCTGACTGCCGTGCACATGATCCGGAAGGTCCCCGAACTCTCCAACGTCTTCCTCCCACCCTGTGCCAAACTGCTTCACGAGCGCCACCATGGTAAGGCTGTGGGGCTCCCCATCCTTTGCTTCAGCTCTATGGGCAAAAGAATTGAAAATTGGATGGGGACACCAGCCTATAGGAGAAGGGTAGCCCACACACACACAGGCACACACGCAGTAGACTCTCTTGCCCCTGGCCCCCACCGTTCACTTCCCCGACCCTGACCCCAGGCATCCTGCTGGGCACCATCACGCTGATCACGGAGCTCTGCGAACGAAGCCCTGAAGCCCTCAGGCACTTCCGAAAGGTGGGCTGGTGAAGGGGCAGGCCCTGGGCCTGGAAGAGAGGGTCAGTGGGGAAGGAGTGGGACTATAGCTGGAGAGGATTAGGAAGAATGCCCAAAGTCATGCCCTCCCTCCAGGTGGTACCCCAGCTGGCACAGATTCTCCGGACTCTGGTGACAACGGGATGCTCCACAGAACACAGCATATCTGGAGTCAGCGACCCCTTCCTGCAGGTGGGGTGACTTTTCACTGCTGTATCCCTGGAACAGAGGCCGTAGCAGTAAGACCATGGCCAGTGGTCTCCTCCCAGAGGACACTAGTTCTGTCAGTGTCCTGGGCAGCAGAGTAGCAGGCACAGAATTGCCTGGGTCATCCCAGGACCTGTGAGGGAAGAGGAGATGCCTAGAAGTCAGAAAATACAGTCTGGTAACAATTTTTTTTTTAAGCCCGTCCTAAACTCCCCTGGCCTGACATACCTCTGTTCCCCTCCCAGGACCAAGGGACCTGTGGAGGTGAGGGACAGGGAGGCTCTAGAGAGCGAGCTGGACCCTCACAGTGCCCTCCTCCACGTTGGAGTTTTCTCTTCAGCCATGTGACTCCTTATCCTATGAACTCCTCCACCTTTCAACTTTCAACCCAACCTCAGGTCCAGATACTTCGTCTGCTTCGGATCCTGGGCCGGAATCATGAGGAGAGCAGTGAGACCATGAATGACTTGCTGGCCCAGGTGGGGGCTGGGAAGAGGGCACTGATTAGCTGTGTTGCTTAGAGACTCCACCAGCCCTGGGTACCCATCACATGACTCCTCGCTGTGCAGTGGCCGTATAATCGCCACTCCATCTCCTCTAGACAGTGAACTCCATGAAAAAGGGACACTGTTTTAGTGCTATTGCCCCAGAGCCCAGGCTGGCTCTGGCATATAGTGGAGGCTCAGGGAACTTTGTTGGATGGTTGAAGGATGGAGAGATGACATGGTGATGTCCTTCAAGAGACCTGAGGATTAGTTGGGCTTGTTGGCATGTGTCTGTAGTCCCAGCTACTCAGGAGGCTGAGACAGGAGGATCACCTGAGCCTGGGAGGTCAAGGCTGCAGTGAGCTGTGATTATGCCATTGCACTCCAGCCTGGGCGGCAGAGTGAGACCCTGTCTCAGAAAAACAGAGACCTGGCCAGGCATGGTGGCTTATGCTTGTAATCTCAGCAGTTTGGGAGGCTGAGGTGGACGGATCACAAGGTCAGGAGATCAAGAACGTCCTGGCTAACATGGTGAAACCACATCTCTACTAAAAATATGAAAGATTAACTGGGGCTAATGGTGGTGTGCGCCTGTAGTCCCAGCTACTCGGGAGGCTGAGGCAAGAGAATCCCTTGAACCCAGGAGGCAGAGGTTGCAGTGAGCCAAGATCACGCCACTGCTCTGCAGCCTGGGCGACAGAACAAGACTTAATTCTCAAAAAACAAACAAACAAGCAAACAAAAAACGGAGACCTGAGGAGGGCCCTGAGCAGATACATCTCCTCTCTCATCCACTCAGGTAGCCACTAACACAGACACCAGCCGAAATGCGGGGAATGCGGTTCTGTTTGAGACGGTACTCACCATCATGGACATCCGCTCTGCAGCTGGGCTACGGGTATTATTTCTTATGCCTCTCCCACCAGGGCCCCACCCACCACCTCACCCACACAGATCCTGCTTGCTGGTTTCTTCCTCCTAGCCCCATCATCCTGTGCCAGTGTGTTCCCACTCCTCAGTGGATGAGCAGGTTGCTCTTTTCCTGGCTAACCCCAACATCTGCCTCTCATAGGTTCTAGCTGTCAACATTCTTGGCCGTTTCCTACACAACAGTGACAGGAACATTAGGTAATAGTCCCAACTGTCTACCTAGGCTGTGCCACTGATCCCCTGGCCCTCTGTCCTTCCTTCAGAGCCTCCTGATCCACTTCTCCCTTACCCCTATACCCAGGACAGGACGGGGGGTGGGGGGCTGATGGCCGTGGTGTGATAGAGCCTCCCCCATCCTGACCAGGTATGTAGCCCTGACGTCACTGCTTCGGCTGGTGCAGTCTGATCATAGTGCTGTGCAGCGGCATCGGCCCACTGTGGTGGAATGTCTACAGGAAACTGACGCCTCCCTTAGCCGGTGAGCAGTGAGAGGGGACAGAAGGGCAGGGCAGAGGTTCCCAGTGCCTGGTGGCCAAGCTCCAAGCTAGCTTAGAGCAGCTGGAGTAAGGGGCCTAAGGGGGACAGATTCCTGGGGATGGCCTGAAGCATGGACCAGGATGACCTAGACTACCTGCATAGAAACCTCTTTCTTCTGCCAGGAGGGCCCTGGAACTAAGCCTGGCTCTGGTAAATGGCTCCAATGTGCGAGCCATGATGCAAGAGCTGCAGGCCTTTCTGGAGTCCTGCCCTCCTGACCTACGGGCTGACTGTGCCTCAGGCATCCTGCTGGCTGCAGAGAGGTGAGGTGTCCGGTAGTCGAAGAGGGTAGAATCTGAGGGGGTCAGTACCAGGACTGATGAGCTGTATGTCCCCTAGGTTTGCTCCAACCAAACGCTGGCACATAGACACCATCCTGCATGTGCTGACGACGGTGAGGCAGGGCCCAAGGAGCTGGGCAGGAGCAGTCAGGGTTCACCACACTGACTTGGCCATGTCCACACCTTCCAGGCGGGCACCCACGTGCGGGATGATGCAGTGGCCAACCTGACTCGGCTGATTGGGGGGGCCCAGGAGCTACATGCCTACTCTGTGCGCCGCCTCTACAATGCCCTGGCAGAAGACATCTCCCAGGTACAATTCCCTCCTACCCAGGCCCAGGGCTGCCCAACCATTCCCTCGCCCATCCTGGGCTACCTCCTCCCTACACTAGATTCCAATTTTTCTCTCAAGTTGATAGCTACCTACATAGTGCAGAAGACATCCAAGCACAGAGCCCTGTGTTTAATGACACCTGGGCTTTTGTCCTGACTCTGATACCTCCTGGCTGTGTAACTACAGATGACTAACTTCCTTTAAGCTCCATGTACCCTGACTGCCTCTTAGAGCTGCCTTGAGATTAAAGCTCTTGTGTTTATGAGGTTTTATTATTACTTTGAATGCTGAACGAATTAACAGATGCCAGCTAGTATCTATATCCCCCTTTTTCATCTTAATTAAGTAGAGTGGGCAGAAAGCATCCACCCTTTCCACAAGGGAGCAACCCTCTTATATTTACATCCTTTGTGGTTTGGCCATGTAGTTCTGATGCTTGGCCACCAGAGGGCAGTGGGAGCCAGGTAACAAACTTCCCTTTCCCCACCCCTCCAACTCCCACCATCTCTGCACTGCCTAAAGGGATGTTGCCAGGTCTGGACGTGAGGAGGGGACCTCAGACACTGGCCCAGCAGTGTTTCTTTCTTTGTCTTGCTCTTTTTTTTTTTTTTTTTTTAAATAGAGACGGGGTTGGCCGGGCGCGGTGGCTCAAGCTTGTAATCCCAGCACTTTGGGAGGCCAAGGCGGGTGGATCACGAGGTCGAGAGATCGAGACCATCCTGGTCAACATGGTGAAACCCCATCTCTACTAAAAATACAAAAAATTAGCTGGGCATGGTGGCACGTGCCTGTAATCCCAGCTACTCAGGAGGCTGAGGCAGGAGAATTGCCTGAACCCAGGAGGCGGAGGTTGCAGTGAGCCGAGAGCGCGCCATTGCACTCCAACCTGGGTAACAAGAGTGAAACTCCGTCTCAAAAAAAAAAAAAAAAAAGAAAAATAGAGACGGGGTCTTGCTATTTTGTCCAGGCTGGTCTTGAACTCCTGGTCTCAAGCGATCTTCCCGCCTCAGCGTCCCAGAGTGCAGGGATTACAGCCACCAGGCCCAGCCAGCCCAGCAGTTTCTTATCCCATGTAGCAACCACTGGTGCAGGTGGCAGCCTGGTGCATTGGAGAGTATGGGGACCTCCTACTGCAGGGGAACTTCGAGGAGATTGAGCCCCTTCAGGTGAGACCTTATTGGGGGTACTGAGGAGGGACTCATCAGGGGTGCAGAACTTGCACCAGAGTCACTAACTATCCATGTCTGAAGGTGGAAGAAGAGGAAGTGCTGGCATTGCTGGAAAAGGTGCTGCAGTCCCATATGTCCCTGCCAGCCACCCGAGGATATGCCCTCACAGCCCTCATGAAGCTCAGCACCCGCCTCCGTGGGGACAACAAGTAAGAACGCATCCCCAGCCTCTTGAGAGATGGCTTTTCATTGGGCCCACCCATTTCTGAGTTTCTTTCCAGGCATACATACCCAGCCCTCCCTACCCTAGCCCTTAGGTTCTTGTTTTTGAGCCAAATCTGGGTATTTCCCTGCTCCATGGGCCTTTCCTTCCTGCCACATCCTGCAGTGGCACACTGCCATTGACACTTACACACTACACTGGCACAGCCGCATCCGCCAGGTGGTGTCCATCTACGGGAGCTGCTTGGACGTGGAGCTGCAGCAGCGGGCTGTGGAGTATGACACACTCTTCCGGAAGTACGACCACATGAGGTGCGTTCAGCACTGTGCTACAGTGTAGGACCTAAACCCCGGCCCAATCCCAAATACCCTTTTCTAGGGCCTCATCCTTTCCTGTGTTCTTCCACATCCACGGTGAGAGCTTCCCACCCACTGTTAATTGAAGCTGGCTTCCAACCCTCCTTGCTCATCTGAAAATCAGCAACAACGTGTCATTTTAGGAAATCAGAAGGCCACTTCTGAACCATATGCCCTGGGCTCTTCATGTTCCTAGTCCTCATCCTAGATGCCTCTTGTGAAAGACCCAGAGACCCCACAGAATGCACCCACTTGCATTCCATCCTCTCAGGGCTGCCATCCTGGAAAAAATGCCTCTTGTGGAACAAGGTGACCCTCAGGTTGATGAGGAAGTACAGGAAAGCAAAGCAGCAGCCCAGCTTTCAGAAGCAGCCCCAGCGCCCACAGAGTCCCAGGTGAGGAGGCTGGAAGCCCCGGGGTAGGAAGACAGCTGAGCTCCCATACCTAGCCCTGCCCCTTCTGTGCCTTTCCCCAGGCCTCACAGCTCCTGGATCTGCTAGATCTCCTGGATGGGGCTTCTGGGAATGCCCAGCATCCTCCCCTTCTGGACCCCTCTCCAGGAGGTGCCCTGGTACACCTGCTTGACCTTCCCTGTGCACCTCCACCCCCAGGTAAGCCTAAGCAAATGGGGGTATGTCTTAGAGAAGGTGGCTGGAAATGTGCTGCTTCTCCTCCTAAGCCAAGGGCTGAGGCTCATGGGCCCTGTTTCCTCCTGTGTGTCTCCCATCCTATCTCCATCTCAGGAGGTTAAAGAATGAAGTCAATCATGGTCACCCATGTCTTCCCATTATTCCAGACTTCTTCCCCTGGCCTGCAGGGCCCTGCTTCCTCCCCAGCCCTTCTTATACCACTTTCCCACTACCCACTCATTGCCCCCCTCTCAGCTCCTCACACCCTCCCACCCTTGGCATTTCATGTTTTTTTATACATGGAGTGTTCCTTCCCCAGCACATCAAATGACCAGCTCCTTCTCACTCTTCAGGCTTCAGCTAAAATGTCAGATGCCTTCCCTTACCACTGCTATTTAAGTTAGTTCTTCCCAGTTATTCTGGCATGACTTATTTCCTTCATAGGATCTATTATGGTCTGTAATTATCTTGCTTATTTTTTTTTTTTTCCTTTTTTTTTTTTTTCTGAGATGGAGTCTCACTGTGTCACCCAGGCTGGAGTACAGTGGCATGATCTCGGCTCACTGCAACCTCCACCTCTTGTGTTCAAGCTATTCTCGTTATCTCAGCCTCCCAAGTAGCTGGAACTACAGGCAGGAGCCACCACACCCAGTTAATTTTTATTTTTAGTAGAGACGGGGTTTTGCCATGTTGGCCAGGCTGGTCTCAAACTTCTGACCTCAGGTGATCCACCTGCCTCACCCTCCCAAAGTGCTGGGATTACAGGCGTGAGCCACTGGGCCTGGCTCTTGTTTCCCTCCCTCATTATAGTAAGCTCCAGCCTTATCTTGTCTTCTTTGTCACTAGCCTCTTAAGCAGTGCAGGGCCAATAAGTGTTCCCTCAATTTTTGTTGAATGAATGAACAAACATGTTCTCTCAAACCGGCACACTGAGCTGCCTGTCTCCTTACTCCAGCTCCCATCCCAGATCTCAAAGTGTTTGAGCGTGAGGGAGTACAGCTGAATCTGTCTTTCATTCGACCCTCTGAAAACCCTGCTTTGCTGTTAATCATCGTCACTGCCACCAACTCCTCAGAGAGTGATGTTACCCATTTCATCTGCCAGGCTGCTGTGCCCAAGGTTTGTAAAGATCAGGGTTCAGAGGTGGCCTGGGGACTCTAGGAGAAAAGGCCACTAAGTGGAGGTGGGTAGGTGGCAGTGTGAGATGGGAGTGAGTCATCTGGAGACCAACTTGGGGAGTTACAGGAAAAGGGTGTGCAGCCACTGGGTGTGGAGGGGCTGTCTGAGCCCCACCTACTACCATACTGTTTTCTGCTAAACTCCTGTATTCAGAGTCTCCAGCTGCAGCTGCAGGCCCCCAGTGGGAACACAGTTCCAGCTCGGGGTGGCCTTCCTATCACTCAGCTCTTCAGAATCCTCAATCCTAACAAGGTGAGCTTCAGGAGCCCCCCCACCAAGACAAGACCCAGGGATAGGAAAAGCTGTGGGTGCTAATCCTGGTCCCCGCTCTCCAATTCCTAGGCCCCCCTGCGGCTAAAGCTGCGCCTCACCTACAACCACTTTGGCCAGTCGGTGCAGGAGATTTTTGAGGTGAACAACTTGCCTGTGGAATCGTGGCAGTAACTGTCTTCACTCACAGCCTGAAATTGTCCTGTGTCCCAAACCCCAGGGGGCCCCAGCAGTTTGGAACCTACCCCTGAGGGCTACCAGCAGGTGGCGCTCTGGCTTTGCACTGCAAAAACGGGACCAGCCCTGTTCTCCCACAAATGAAGCCCAATAAAGCCTGAGAGGGGAGGAAAGCCATATTTAGGTATATTTGAAGTAGAAAGTGTGTATGAATAACAGCAAGGGAAGAGCCTTCTTACATAGGAGGTATGCATCTTCCCCGTCTCAACATGGGTTGAGGGGGGAGGTTGGTTCTTTCTACCCCTCTCCAGATCAGGGAACAAATTTGCCCCTAAACTTCCAGAGGAGGCACTCTACCCTCTGGGCCAGAGCTGGGCACAGTGGCAAAATCAGATCTGAATTTCTAGAGTTCTAACAAGGATTTCCCAACCATTTCCTCAACTTGCTTCTATTTCCCAAACCCCAAGGCAGGGAAATCCCTGCTGCCTCCCCTCATCTCTAACTCAGCTGTAAGGCGGTTTAGGAGCCGCTGGCAGAATCAATGGCATCGACCAAGGGAGGGGGGGTGGCAAGGGATTTTCCTGTGCTTAACTACTGATCACGGCTAAGTGGAAATCCTATAAACACGAGCGGAAATCAATGGAGGCTGCTTAGCGGCCAGGGGAGAGGGGCGGCCCACAGATTGCATCTGACGGATGAAGGAGAGGAAGCAGCCAGGGAGGGCTCAAGGAAGAGTAGCTTAGAATAGGGGAAAGAAACAGGCAGAGCTGGAGAGAGAGGAGTCACTGTCAGAAGGGACGCCGAGGGGAGAGGCACAGTCGGCCCAGGAGTGGACCCCGTTAGACCCAGAGTTCCCTTCCCCTTCTACGAAGTAACACCCCTAGCCCAAGCTGTTGTCAGGATGTCCAGTCCCCTGTGACCTCTCTCTGGAGCTGTTCACTTCTAGCAGGCGCCGATAGTCTTGAGGCCGGAAACGCTGTAGGTACACAATCAGCTTGGAAGGTGCTGTCTCCTGTGCTGGCACACCTACAGATGAAAGGACGAGGAGAGAAATGGACAGAGCCACAAGCGCTTTGACTCTGCTCCCTGCCCACCTAGCCAGGACCCCATGGATGTTTCCAAGGCCACACTGGGGTTCTGAATGTCACCCACCCAGCTTCTATAACCCACCAGTCCACTCCCTGCCTGCCTGTGGAAGTGGGACCTAAAAAAGCAACTTCAGGCAAGAGTGGGACTAGGAAGTCACACCTGAGCCTCTCCTCCAGCGAGAAATGGCGAAGAGGAACTCAGGTGCCATGAAGACGAAGGATGTCTCAACGCCAGCTCATTTCAGTTATTACCCCGTGCCCCAATCAAGATTAAAGCCCATCTAGGCAGGCCAAAGCTCATTAGCTTGGTAATGAAGCACATGCAGAGACGTACACATAGAAACCAGGGCTATAGAAAGAAGAGGCAGCTATAGCCATGGGGTGGGATTAACATAGAATTCTCACTTCTATGTAGTGAGGTGAGAATGGAACTGCCTACTACCAGTATCTGTTGTTAGTGCCTGGCAGTGTGCTGGGCACATAGTAAGGAACTCAGTGTGTTTACCGAGGAGGCTCAAACAGCACTGCAGGGCTGTTAGCAGGCCCCATGGGATGCACAAGTCCACAGTAGTATGGATGAACTGTCGACAGGGAATTATGCTTGGGAACAAATCTGCCAAATCCTACCCCACTGTCTCAAATATAATGTTATTGTCCTTTACGAAAAGCCAAAAGCACAAATTAAAAGAGGATCTAGCTAATTGTAAAAACAAAAGGACAGCAGATCAGTTGGACTTCCGGTGCAGTGTATCAGTCTCATCATCTAAAGGTCCTGAGTTCGAGCTTCTGAGAGGACAGCTTTTGTAAAAAGGCTTATTTTCCTTGTTTTGGAGGAGTGGCAACTGGGGGGAAAAAAAGACTGGGGGAAGGAAGAATCAAAGCAGGGAACTGAGAAATGAAAGTGAAGGAGACCTGGCTATAGGTATGAGACCTAAATGAGACAGATTGACTAGGATTTGACACATACAAGGACTAAATCCAAATTAGCTACTGTTAAAAGAGATTTCACAGAACTGTAAGCAAACTTAGAAAACTGCTAAAATAATTCCCATTACAAAATTAATCCAGGCCAGGCACGGAGGCTCACACCTATAATCCCAGCACTTTGGAAGGCTGAGGCAGGGCAAATTGCTTGAGTCCAGGAGTTCCAGACCAGCCTGGGCAAAACACCGGAAAACATCCTCTCACTTAAAAAAAAATTTTTTTGCCGGGCGCGGTGGCTCAAGCCTGTAATCCCAGCACTTTGGGAGGCCGAGGCGGGTGGATCACGAGGTCGAGAGATCGAGACCATCCTGGTCAACATAGTGAAACCCCGTCTCTACTAAAAATACAAAAAACTAGCTGGGCGTGGATGTGCCTGTAATCCCAGCTACTTAGGAGGCTGAGGCAGGAGAATTGCCTGAGCCCAGGAGGCGGAGGTTGTGGTGAGCCGAGATCGCGCCATTGCACTCCAGCCTGGGTAACAAGAGCGAAATTCCGTCTCAAAAAAAAAAAAAAAATTGGCCGGGCGCGGTGGCTCAAGCCTGTAATCCCAGCACTTTGGGAGGCCGAGGCAGGTGGATCACAAGGTCGAGAGATCGAGACCATCCTGGTCAACAAGGTGAAACCCCGTCTCTACTAAAAATACAAAAAGTTAGCTGGGCATGGTGGTGCGTGCCTGTAATCCCAGCTACTTAGGAGGCTGAGGCAGGAGAATTGCCTGAGCCCAGGAGGCGGAGGTTGCGGTGAGCCGAGATCGCGCCATTGCACTCCAGCCTGGGTAACGAGAGCGAAACTCCGTCTCATAAAAAAAAAAAAAAATTTTTTTTAATCCAGAGGCCCTCCCCCACTATATAGTCCAGTGGGTGCTTCCAAAAGAGGAAAGTGGGGAGCAGGAAAAGTACAAAAGGGCCTGTTTCCCTCACCAAGCATGCTGCTGAGCCTGTGGATCTTCTCTAGGGCAGCTGGTACTTCCGCCTCCTCATGCACCAGGGCCTCTACCTCACCCACAGCATAGCCAAAGTCCGCTGTATCCAAGTCCACCCTGAGCTGTGGCTCCTCTTCATCAGCTCCCAAGAGCACCAGCTTCCAAGCACTCCGCTTAGTCACAAAACTAGCTACTTCCTGCAGCCCCAGTGGACCCAGTACAGCAGCCACACCTCCAGTCCCCAGGTCTTCAGCCCCCAGCACCTTACAGAGCTGGGCCACAATTGCAGGTTCCGCCGTGACTTCCTTATACTCAGTGTGGGGTCCTAAGACACCTGCTGCTCCAGGACATTTGAGCTCCCATCCACTATCCTCTCGTTGTCGCAGCCAGTGGTCAGCCCGCATGAGGCTCAGCTCAGAGGTGTCATAGTAGGTGTCTTGGAAGGTGACCCGGTGCTCCAGGGTGCCCCCCAACTCCTGCAGCCTCTCCTCTGTGCCAGGCCCTGGAAGGAACTTCCGCTCCACCTCAATCACGCCCTGGGCCATGCTACCTGCAATTAGTTGAACAAACGTTTGCTGAGCTCCCGAGGATGCAAAGCCTGGTGCTCAGCCCCTGGGGCGGCAACTCATCACAGACGCCCTCCGGGGAAGAATTTATGAGGCACACACTGTCGCAGTAGTCTCTAGGGCTACTGCCCTTTTCTCCCAGCCTCGGTGACATTAACGTCCCGTTGGTGTTATTTTAAGTCTCTGACAGTGACAGGTCTCCAGTAAAATCCCTTCCACTGCCGATGATGTCCTCAATCCAAAGGGCCCCTAGAAAGCAGGACGGGTGGCGGATGTCTTTCCAACGCCCCCTTCTCTACACCTTGCCACCCAAGGAGGCCAGTGGCTCACGACCCGGGATGACCTGCCCTTTCCTGCTACAGTACCGGCCAGCGGAACCTCAAGTCTCACCTCAAAGCCCGAGAGTCTCCTCGCGGGACCTGGAGATGGGGAAGGAAGCCCACGCCATACACCCGCGAGGAATGCCGGGAGCAGTTCCTGATCGCGGACCTCTGCCGGACTCTCCGCGCGCCCGGCCGGGTCCCAGCACCAGCGGCCATATTAGGCCCGTTGTGGCGGTGCCGAGGGCAGGCCAGGGCTTGAGAGATCCGCTATTATGGGAGGCTACAACCCCAGCGGTGGGCAGGGGAGCGAGGCCGCCTCCTTAAGCTCTGCTCCTCATTGTCGGCCCCGCAGGGTTCCGGGGGGTTGGAACAGGTCTCAGGCCTGAGGCTGAGACAGACACCCTGAGGCGCGGGTGCATGATGGGAGATGTAGTTCCAAAGGGAGACTTTGCCCTCCCGCCCCGCCCGTCGCTATAGTAACAGGAAAGCTGCAATTGGTGCTTCCCGCCCCGCCTGTCGCTATGGTAACAGGAAAGCTGCAATTGGTGCTTGTGGCACTATACCTAACAGGGCGGCGGGGAGAGTAGCGTGCAAGGAGCTCAAGCCCCATTCCCGTCTCCAACGCCTCCCCGCTGGACCCCCAACGCAGGCAGATGGCCCTGGAATACAAGCCACTCACGCTGTCCGGCAGGTATCTACTATAGCAGCCAGCTAAGTGCAGGCCAGTGGCAATGGTGGCGAAGTTGGGGGGAAGGGTGGCGGTAGCGCATAATTAAGTTTAGTTTAGCTACTCTGGAGTATTAGAGGGGATCTAATACCTCCTGGCATGAACCTTTAGGGTAAGGGTAGATGAGAAACTTTCTGTCAGAGAATAAAGTGATATTTTGCCCGGGACTAAAGATGTGATGGGATTTCAACAGTCGGAGACCTAGATGGAGACAGGAATAGCCTAAGCAAAGGCCCAGAAACTGGAGAGCACCTGGGCGGTATGTAAGTAAAAGACCAGGCTAGACATCCAGTTGAGGAAAAGGTCTTGAGTGCTAGGCTAAGGAGTTTGTCCGAGTTTCCAGCGGTCCCTAAACAGTTTTTGTCGGGTGTAGAACTACTCATGTTCATTTAAAATACAGAAAGGCCGGTGCGGTGGCTCAGCCTGAAATCCCAGCACTTTGGGAGGTCAAGGCAGGCGAATCATCTGGGGCCAGGAGTTCGAGATCAACCTTGCCAATATGGAGAAACTTCGTCTCTAGTAAAAATGCAAAAACGAGCCTGGTGTGGTGGCGCACTGTGTTCCCAGCTACTAGGGAGGCTGAGGCATGAGAATTGCTTGAACCGGGGAGGCAGAGGTTGCAGTGAGCTGAGATGGCGGCACTGCACTCCAGCCTGGGCATCAGAACTAGACTCGATCTGTCCCCAAAAAAATAAAATACAGGAAGACATGGGGTTAGCCCTTTGAATGCTTTGGGAGATGAAATATTAATTCCTTCTTACTCCCTCTGAGGACTTAACCATAGTTCTGGTTATCTGGAGACTCTGTCTGTAAGTCTGACCTTCCCTGTGAGGAAGCTCTCTGAGGAACAGTGGCTCTTAACTCCTGAACTCCTTCCTATGATGGGTGAGAAGTACCATCTTCTCAACACTCGCCTTGTCACCAGTATGTTTCTGAAAACACATGACCCGTGGGAGGTATTATGGGGAGAAGGACACTGGTTTAAAGACATGGCATTGGCCAGGCATGGTGGCTGATGCCTGTAATCCCAGCACTTTGGGAGGCTAAGGCGGGGTCACCTGAGTATCATCTGAGGTCAAGAGTTTGAGACCAGCCTGACTAACAGGGAAAAATCCCGTCTCTACTAAAAATACAAAATTAGCCAGGTATGGTGGCGCACGCCTATATTCCCAGCTACTCAGGAGGCTGAGGCAGTAGAATAGCTTGAACCCAGGAGGCAGAGGTTGTGGTGAGGCAATATTGTACCATTGCACTCCAGCCTGGGCAACAAGAGCGAAACTCTGTCTCTAAATAAATAAAATAAAGACATGGCATTTTGGCCAGGTGCATTGGCTCACACCTGTAATCCTAGTGCTTTGGAGGCCAAGGCAGGAGGACACTTGAGGCCAGGAGTTTGAGACCAGCCTTGGCAACATAGCAACACCGTGTTTCTACCAAAAAAAAATATTTTTTTAAAAAAGATGGGGTTTCACCATTTTTTTTTTTTTGAGACAGAGTTTCGCTCTTGTTACCCAGGCTGGAGTGCAATGGTGTGATCTCGGCTCACCGCAACCTCCACCTCCTGGATTCAGGCAATTCTCCTGCCTCAGCCTCCTGAGTAGCTGGGATTACAGGCACATGCCACCATGCCCAGCTAATTTTTTGTATTTTTAGTAGAGACGGGGTTTCACCATGTTGACCAGGATGGTCTCGATCTCTCAACCTCCTGATCCACCTGCCTCGGCCTCCCAAAGTGCTGGGATTACAGGCTTGAGCCACTGTGCCCGGCCCCCCCAAAATTTTTTTTTAATTAGCCAGGTGTGATCCCAGCTGCTCAGGATGTTGAGTCAGGAGGATAGCTTGAGCCCAGGAGGTCGAGGCCAGTGCACTATGATCCTGCTACTGCCTGCACTCTAGCCTCAGCAACAGAGCAAAACCCTGTATATAAATAAATAAACAATTGGCATCTTGAACTCGGCATAGCTTAAGTGGACCCCTGGCCCCACTCCATGTTAAGCATCGTTAGTTAGGGAGGGAAGCAACCCCAGCTCCTATGGCCTGCTTTTCATCTATTTTTTGCTTTCCAGTTTTGTTAACCTGGGATGGAGACCTAATTTTTCCTGTTAGAAGGTCCAATACAGTGGGGTAAAGGCAGCAGTTTATTTGAATGGAAAGACCAGTTTTCGGAGCCAGACCAGGGGTTGACTCTCAGCTTCACTTTCTAGATGTATGGCCTTTGGCAAGCTACTCCACCTCCCTAAGCCTCTGCTGCTTTTTCCTTTTTTTTTTTTTTGAGATGGAGTTTCACTCTGTCACTCAGGCTAGAGTGCAATGGCGTGGTCTCAGCTCACTGCAACCTTCGATCCCCAGGTTCAAGCGATTCTTCCGCGTCAGCCTCCCAATTAGCTGGGACCACAGGTGCACCTCCACACTGGGCTGATTTTTTAGATGGAGTTTCGCTCTTGTTGCCCAGGCTGGAGTGCAATGGCACGATCTCAGCTCACCACAACCTCAGCCTCCCAGGTTCAAGCGACATCCCTGGCTCAGCCTCCCAAGTAGCTGGGATTATAGGCATGTGCCACCGCACCCAGTTAATTTTGTATTTTTAGTAGAGACGGGGTTTCTTCATGTTAGTCAGACTGGTTTTGAACTCTCAACCTCAGGTGATCTGCCCGCCTCGGCCTCCCAAAGTACTGGGATTACATGTGTGAGCCATAGTGCCCAGCCAGCCTCTGCTTTTTCATTTAGAAAATGTGCCCTGCCTCAGTTATCTGTGAGGATTCAGAAATAAACTGTCGGCCGGGCGCGGTGGCTCAAGCCTGTAATCCCAGCACTTTGGGAGGCCGAGGCGGGTGGATCACGAGGTCAAGAGATCGAGACCATCCTGGTCAACATGGTGAAACCCCGTCTCTACTAAAAATACAAAAAATTAGCTGGGCATGGTGGCACGTGCCTGTAATCCCAGCTACTCAGGAGGCTGAGGCAGGAGAATTGCCTGAACCCAGGAGGTGGAGGTTGCGGTGAGCCGAGATCGCGCCATTGCACTCCAGCCTGGGTGGCAAGAGCGAAACTCCGTCTCAAAAAACAAACAAACAAACAAAAAACAAAAAAAAAACAAAAAAAAAAGAAATAAACTGTCACAGAGTATAAACTCCAAATGTTCATTTCTCCCTTTTTTTTTTTGAGACAGAGTCTTGCTCTGTCACCGAGGCTAGAGTGCAGTGGTGTGATCTCAGCTTACTGCAACGTCTGCCTCCTGGATTCAAGTGATTCTCCTCCCTCGATCTCCCAAGTAGCTGGGATTACAAGTGCCTGCCACCACACCCTGCTAATTTTTATATTTTTAGTAGAAACAGGGTTTCACCATATTGGCCAGGCTGGCCTCGAACTCCTGACCAGCCTGGCTAAGATGGTGAAACACCATCGCTACTAAAAATACAAAATTAGCAGGGTGTGATGGTGGGCACCTGTAATCCCAGCTACTTGGGCTGAGGCAGGAGAATCACTTGAACCTGGGAGGCTGTAATCCCAACTATTTGGGAGGCTGAGTCAGGAGAATCACTTGAACCTGGGAGGCACAGGTTGCATGAACAGGGATCGAGCCACTACACTCCAGCGTGGGCGACAGAGTGACTCAGTCTCAAATAAATTAATAAATAAATACAAGAGCACTTAATGAGCTGATAAACTGAAGATGAGAAGGAGCCAGAACCTCCCCTCCCCCTATCCAGTTCAGGGGACTGTGTAACCGCGTGGAGGAGGCAGACGCCATCAGAGACTAAGGAGTAATTGCTGTGGTAGAGAAGGTTCTAGTACCCAATAGGGAGGGGGGGGAAAAAATAAGGCAGGAAGAAGGGAGTGGAAAAAAGGAAGCCTTGGGCGTCTCAGGGCTTGTTCTAAAGCTGATTTAAAACAAGACAAAACACATGTATGATTTCTGCAGGCCACAGGATGAAAAGGAGAGGAGACGGGAAAGAGTTTTAAGGGGTCTGCCCTCTTTGCAGGCACCCGCTTGAAACTGGAGCCAGAGTAGAGGACGGGGCCTGGTGGGCTGGCCGGCCTGCCCCGGCCCTGGGTCCCGCGAGGCGGGCGGACGCAAACAGACTACAACTCCCGGCATCCGCCGCGGCGGGCAGGCCGCTGCACCTGCTCAGTGGGGCCGCCCCGGGCGCCTGGGTATTGATTATTCCATTGTGTGGGACGCCACGACTCCAGCCAGTGAATGAGGCGGAGGAGTGAGGGCGAGGAGGAGGAGGAGGAGGAGGAGGAGGAGGAGGGCGAGGAGGAGGAGGAGGGCGAGGAGGAGGAGGAGGAGGCAGGGAGCGAGCGAGTGCCCAGGGTGAATCAATGGAAACCCCCTCACGAAGCCGGGGAAACACTTCAGCCGCAGCCAAATAGCATTGATTATTTTCCTTCACTTCCCTCACCTCCGTGAATTTATTTATTTTTTTTTCCATCTCCGTCCCCGACGCCCCGGAGCGAGCGCTGGAGGGAGGGAGGAGGAGGGGAAAAAAAGAGGAATCAACACATCGGAGAAGTCCCTTCCAAGAGCCGCCCCCTCCCCTCCCCGCCTCGCGCTGCTTGGCGGCCGCGGTTCGACTCCCGTCCCTGCTTCCAGCTGAGGTGTAAGTGCATCGATTTCCGATGCTGCTGGGTTGGTTTTTTTCTCCTCTCCCTCTCTCTCTTCCCTTCCTTGCTCTTTGGAAGCTCAAGACGGGAGA